TATATATATATATATATATATATATATATATATATATATATATATATATATAATAGAATGCTTGTCCAAAAATCTTTTTCTAGAGATACTCTGACGATTTTTCAATGTTCGTTGAAAAAAAAAAAAAAAATCGATTTTTTTGATACACTCTAGTTTACATGTTTTTATTGTCTAATGTTATATTAATGTATCGTCAATTTTTCTATATAGCTATGTGCTAGGAACTAAGTGTCCAGCGAGATTCACAGTTAATTTGATCAGCAATGGTTTAGAGATTGATATTTGGAAGGATAATCATAACTGCCAAAACAGAGAGGTAATATTATTGTATTTAACAGTTTCAATTTTGTTCTTTTAAGAAAAAACTTCAAGATATATTTTTTATAATTCAATAGCTATCTTCCGTTGTAAATATAAAGGCTCACGAGTCAAAAATTAATGATAAAAATTCGAGAATACTCAATTTATCATTTGATAGCTACCAGTCACTAGAAACATTCGTAACAAACTTTCAAAAAGAGGAAAAAGAAGTATACGTTAAGCGAGACAGTCGGTATTTGAAAGATTGTAATATCAGGAAACCGTACAATGAAAATTTAGTATATGTATACGTCAAGTTTGTTTGTAAATTTGGTGAGTTAACTCACACTCCTAAAGAAAACAAGCAACGAAAGACAAGGTAAATATAAAATTTTAAATTAATTAATTGCGTAATTAATAAGTAACCGAGAATTTCACGCTAAATCACTAAGTTTTTCTGCAAGACTCTCTACAATTTGGCGAAAAATTTTTTTGATCTTTTTTCATTTCATTAAATATGTTTCTTAAGAAATATTTGAAATTTTATTATTCTACAAAAAAAAAAAAATTATAAATTTTTTTGACCAAACTCGTAAGTTCTCGAATTTAAAAAATTGGCTCATTAAAGATAGTATGCATTGGATATCTTTTTTTAAATAAAAAGATGAATTCTTAAAAGTTACTATTATCAGAAAATAAAAAGGGCATTTTTTTGAAAAATACATAACTTTTTTTTGTTTGGTTTTGAATGTAGTTTCAAAAAAAAAAAAGCAATGCATGAACGTAATTAAAAGTCATTTTTTTGCACATTTTCAAAATAAATCAAAATTATTTCAATTATTACCTGCTTCATGTAATATGTTTTTTTTTTTTTTT